GCCGTGTCGACCTAGCATGCGAGGCGAGCTGTCATGCTCGGTGCCCATCTGGGCGTTGAGGTCAACTGCGGCACTCGGTAATTGGTGTCGCAGGAAAGAACTAAGTGACATACGTGAACAAGTCTAGAACTGGTCCTTCCTCGAATCCTCTGCAACGTTGCTACTGACATATATGTCGAGGCAGTTCATCGCCACGTGTCTCGTTCCGAATTTGCAAATGATGCCACGGTCGCCGTGTACTCAATGGAGACAATACAGTTAGCCGGTCGGAGGGAGGGAAAAACTGCAGCGTCAGTCTCGTGGCGGCGAGAGTCCTGGTCACCAGACCAGTAGAATTGCTATCCAGCTTGAATTCGCTGACGTCCTTGGCCTAGTGAATGGGCCTCTACGAGTCTCAAAATATCCTGCTTGTATCGCGCTGCGGCCAGAGGGACGTCGTCCAGTTTGCCATCACCGCAAGTTCCAGATGGCGTTGCGCGAGTGTTAGGCTTTTGCAAATTAGACTTCTTGGTAGAATAGTCTGAACCGTCCTATGGATGCAAACCGTCAAGTGAACAGCAGTGGTATACAGCAAACTCGACACATAGCCAAGAGCTACGCAATCTCATGTAGCTACGAGTTGACCTTCATCTCAGGCTTTCCTCGTTTGATGTATTAGGCAAATGTTGAGAAAGTTCAACGCAAAATGGATTATTTGCTGGATTTTCAACGCCAGTCTAAGCAAAGCTTCTTCGTAGCCGTCGTAGTAACCTTTTCTATATTCTGGTAATTACGCCGGCTCATTGACAATATGTAGATCTAAGTGTTGAACAATGAATGAAAAGTATATGACTCTAGTCATTGTTTGCATTGATAATTAATCGAACGGCCTTACCTGGATTAATAGCAGCATAAATGACAGAAAACGGAGCCTATTACGATACTGCAAATAAACGGTTACGAGTGCTTATAGGGAATATTGGCATTTCGCATGTTTCACGACCTCTTTTACTGCATTCTGCATTCCCTCTGATTTTAAGAATGCTCATCAGACAGGTGAATGTTGCAGTATCTGATATAGCCTACTAGTGGCTTAACTGTAAATTGTATAAATATGCAATGGTTTTATATCATTAATCTATGCCAAACAATACAAGTAAACTGGCATTTATGGGAGTAATTCTGAGTGCTGCTTATATAAAACAGATCTGAGCTTCACCTTTCAAAGCTTTTGCTTCAAATTATAGAATCTGCTCATGGTTAGTAGGTAGCAATACGGTGTTAAATTGAAGAAACTAGAGTCTTTAATCATTTGCATGTCCGTTTAGATTCCCAAAACGAAAGGAG